TGCTTCTCTCCGCAGCTGCACCCTCACAAGCGAGCTAAGCCCCTCCACAGAGGCTGGCATTTGCATGCAAGCTCAGCAAACTGCCTAGGGAAATAAAGTTTGCTAACTCCCTGCACCAGGCGAAGGTGGGAGCAAATAGGGAAATGCAGAGCACTGCTTCTGGTTCGTGCCAGGGCTAATTAGGGGCTGTCCATAAATTACCGAAGGCATATTTTGGTGGTCTTGTTTTTCAAGAAGACCCCCCCGCAACCCGTAACCCTGAAACAAACACACAATTCCATCCTGCAGTGCGGTAGTTTATGGTCAGCCCTTAGGGCAGTGCTGAGGTTGGGTGAGCTGATTGGGGACAGGGCGCTATCTCCATCCAGGACCAGGTCCTAACGTGCCCCCTCTCTGTGCCCCCTCTCTCCTGCAGGAGATGTCTTCATCTTGGTGTTCAGCTTGGACAACCGGGACTCCTTTGAGGAGGTGCAGCGGCTGAAGCAGCAGATCCTGGAGACCAAGTCTTGCCTGAAGAACAAGACCAAGGAGAACATGGAGGTGCCCCTGGTCATCTGTGGCAACAAGGGGGACCGAGACTTCTACCGGGAGGTAGCGCCCCGGGAGATCGAGCAGCTGGTCGGGGCAGACCCTCAGAAATGTGCCTATTTCGAGATCTCCGCCAAGAAGAACAGCAGCCTGGACCAGATGTTCCAAGCACTCTTTGCCATGGCCAAGCTGCCCAGCGAGATGAGCCCGGACCTGCACCGCAAGATCTCGGTGCAGTACTGTGACATGCTGCACAAGAAGGCGCTCAAGGGCAAGAAGCTGCTGAAGGAAGGGGCCGAGGGCAGCAGCAGCAGGGAAGCCTATGGCATCGTGGCCCCCTTTGCCCGCCGGCCCAGCGTGCACAGTGACCTCATGTACATCCGGGAGAAGGCCATCGGCGGCGGGCAAGCCAAGGACAAGGAGCGCTGTGTGATCAGCTAGGAGCATCCTGCCGCCCCACTCCTCCCCTCCCCAAAAAGGGAGGGAGATACATGGGGGGGAAGCTTGTTTCATAATAAACTCTGGCTGCCCAGGGGTGGTATGTGCCCTGGCCAGGGTGGCATCTGCCCAGGGGGCAGGTTACCTCCCACCTCCAGCCCAAGGGGATGATTTGCATCTGCTGTCCTCTGCACCCACTTCTGGGGTGCAATGGGGGGCTGCTGATGATGCTGGGGACACCCTCCCCCCCCCCAATGATGAGAGACTGAGGACTTTGAGCACAGATGAGGAGCCTGGTAGTGGAAAGACATTGACTCTAAGGCACCTCCCCACCTTTGCCAGCATAGGCCAGTGCACTGCCTTACAGAAGAGACTTGGGGTGGGAAGATATGGTTTGGACTTGAGAAACCAGCCAACACTGAGCTCTGGAAAGGGGCTTTGTGTGTGTACATTTCTCTGAGCCAGGAGAGCTGCAGGAGGACACTTCCCGCTGTCGCAATCATCTGGCAGGCCCCTCCACTGGCCTCTCTTACAGAAGCAGAGATGGGTGTGTGTCAAAACCTGACTTTTGTTTACATTTGTCTTGCCTGATTTGGAGGGGAAAAAAAGCTTTTTTTTTGTTTTTGTTTTTTTTAAATAGGCACTTTATGTAGGGTAGTGTGTGTCCTGGACATGAACAAAATCGTATGCAAGTGTTTTCTACGCTCCATGTTTTAAGTTTACTATTTTTTTCTACAAAAATAAAACCCTTTTTTAAATTAATCTGTTCCAGGTTTGTCTTTGATTCCTCATGGTGTTTCTCAGCATTTTCAAAGCCTCCCCCTATGTGGTATGGAACATCTATATTGAAGCTGAGCAACTGTGTTTACTTATGATAGCCCCCTCCAATCAAAACCTTCCCTCTACTTACTTCCCTTCATCCCCAGTGCAAAGGTTCCCGTTACTGAAAGTGCATGACAAGATTTATTTCAACACAACAAAGTAATTCGGGGGAGAGGTCACATGAACTGTGCTGCCAAAACAGAGCACTGATTGGGCTAAAACTTTTTCTGATTACAAAAAGAAAAGGAGTACTTGTGGCACCTTAGAGACTAACCAATTTATTTGAGCATAAATTGCTCAAATAAATAAATAAATAAAAGCATAAATTGGTTAGTCTCTAAGGTGCCACAAGTTCTCCTTTTCTTTTTGCGAATACAGACTAACACGGCTGTTACTCTGAAACCTGTCATTTTTCTAATTACGGAACCTTGCATTGAACCATAGGGTGACATCTAGAGGGCAGATGGAAAAGTGAAATATTTCCACTCCTAGCCTATAAGTGCATGTGATCATAAATACTAGTAGGACATCTGTCATAGGAAATGTGGGTAAAATGAGATGTGACACAACTTCATAATCAATTAAAATCGCTCCTAGGACCAGGCACTACGGTAATAGAAGTAACAATCTCCTGCCCTGTTTTTTCGCACTTGAAACACACATGCAATTCTATCATAAAAGGCTTTTTACGAATAGTAACCTGCACTCAAATCAGAGAGACCTTTTTCCCTTTGCAACACACCTAAAGGAAACATTCCACTTAAAAAGGCCCCATACTTGCATTTGAAAGAACTACTGTTCCAAATAGCCAAGACTGCCAGAACTGAAAGAAAATGGGGAAGGAATAAATTCTCATTTTTTTCTAGTTTGCTTACTTGGTGATTTTGAAAACACGTTAGGACTGGTTTCTCAGGGCTGCTGGATACCACCAACTTCCACTGATCTCAATTGCTCAGATCCTCTGGAAAAATTAGGCCTTTTGTGTTTAGCCAGTCTCCTTGTTTCACTAGTCAGTTCCCTCTGTTATTTCCCTTGCCCCCTACCCCAGCAATCGAGGCCAGAAATATATCTTTAATTTAAAGATAAGGAAAATGTGCTTCTGAAACAGCTTTTAGTACATTTAAAAAAACCCAAACCAACCTGACTGGATTTTAAGTTGAAGGGGTGACTTTCACCTGCAATTGCACATTTCTCTGAGCTTACACTTGATTCTTCCATCTCTAGTACATGCACAGTTCATGGAATGTATATTGAAAACTAAATGGATTATTTCTCCATGTGAAATAGATGCCAAATTTACTGATCTTAGACAATGGCTGGCAGAAATGCACTGCCCACGTTCATTTTCTATTGCGTATTTTAGGGTTCGGTTTCACTGAAACAAGAAAGGTTTATCCCAGGCCACCTTTGCGTCTTCCCAAAGAAACGAGAGCGTAGCGCTATTTTAAATGGGGTGCAGAGTGGCATATAATAAGCAAGCTGCTGGTAATTTGGACTGTCCCAGCATGGGGTCCCTGCCCTTAGCAGAAACACTTTCCTTCTGGCTGGCAAAGGGAAAGCAATTTCAAAACAGAATTTGTTGCTGCTCTTGACAGGAATGAGCTTTCTCTCTCTTCCAGGGACTCTACCAGCTTCTCTGTGTCCTTGTGTTATATGCAAATAACCTGCATTCTAGTGACTGGCACAGTATTTCATCATAATTTATAAGAGCACTTCACAAGAAAGGCTGGGACCCAGCCAACCCTGGGCACACATGCTTGAAACTGTACACATAATACTTTTATTAGCCAGTGAGGTACAGTGAGATCTCCTATGATAACCGTGTTTACCTCCATTTCCCATGGAAGGGGCAGGCAGGCAGCAGGAAATTCCGAGGTAGGACTCAGCAAGCTGTCCCTTGCTCTATTTGAACATGATCCAACGTTCAGCAATTTTCATTGGTTGTAACCGGAGGTGCCCTCAGTTACTGCCCTGGAAACCCACTTTCTCATCTCTGCGCGCCCCTGCACTGAAGCCAGGGTGTTTACGTCAGGGGTGAATCAGACCCATCTAACTCTGCTATTTTACGTGGGTACAAATAAGGTGCAGAATTGGCTCACACCACCTCGCTGCATTGATGGACTAGCCGATGGCCCAACCCACCACCGCCCATCTCCTCAATCTGAGCACTTGCTGGACTCTTCCCCGTCAAGTCGTCTTCTCCTCCTGCCTCTAGTTTATACAGTTGAAATATTGGGGGGTGAATTTGCTTCTTGTGAAAGCGAAGGCAACAAAGGCCTGGCTAGCATTACTGCTAATACCGGCAGGCACTGCACAAACTTCCCCCTGCCCAGCCAATACATCCCAGTCCTGGTCAAGTCCCAGGCTCCCCTTGAGCAGAGACCAGGTGGTGTGCTGCAGTGTGTGGTGGCCGCAGTGTCCGTGGGGCGAGGGAAATGAACCCACCACTGTTTTTACACTGGTGACCAAGGCCCAGATCCTGCAAACCTCACTCCCGTGGCAGGGCGGTGCTCTTAAACAGGAGTTGCACCCAGCTCTCAAGAAATGAAAGGCTAGAGGCCTTAATCCAGAGTCACCAGCCTATCTATGGGCCAAATTCTTCCCTGGTGCAACTCCACTGACTTGAATGGCCCAGTTGCTGCTAGCTGGCTATAGGCCAATCTCCCTTCCCATCTCCATGGGGCTGTTTACTAGATACTTGCCTGGGCCCCTGTGTCCTGCACTGGAGCTGCACAAAGCACTTCATCTCCCTCCGCAGCGCGGGGGCAGGGGTTAACACAGCACAGGACAAGTGTCCCAAAAGCTTGAGGCCGATGTAGGCAGGCAGTGGATTCTCCCCTTGATTAAAGTACTCTGGGGCACGCAGCTGGCCTCTGAGAGATTCTGCGGTCAGCCCCGCTGGTGGAAAGTGTAATAACCGCTACAGTCAACAGGGTTACTCAGACTGACCCCAGGGCAACCGGGAGTGACACTGCCTCTGTGAGTTGGGAATCGAGGTACCTAAATCCCTGTGACATTCACTCAGAGCTGAGCACTGACTACTCCTTTAAAAATTCCCAGCCTACATCTACCAGGCTATTTGGCCCCAGCCCTGCTTTTAGAAAAACAATGGAAGGAGAAAGCACCCAGAGCAGCTCTGTGGTCTCCTGTGCTTTCAGAACGATAGCCCTGTGCCGTCCGCGCATGCTCAGTACAGATGCAAGAAGTGCCACTCAGGGTTTTCAAATCTTTACTTGGATCATCTCAGATACAAGCATCACTTATGGAAGAAAAAAAAAAAAATCAAGGTGATAAATACAAAAGCAGTTGTAATCAATCCTTTCTCTCCAGACACACACTCTGCAACCAGCGCAGGGGGGACCGCGTCCGCTGCCTCCAGGGGGCAGGGCAGGAAGCTCCATTCTGCCGATTTCCACAAAAGGGAAGAAAATGCCCCCTCTTTCTGGTTGCAGGCAGTAATGTTGCCACCAGATCATTTACTCCTCATAGCAAGGTGGGGAGCGTAATCCCTCCTGCGTGCTTGCATTAAAAAAAAAAAGAGACGCACTCCAGAACAGAGAGATATATAAATACATGCAGTCCCACAGCAGATCAAAGCAAACGAACCGCTGCAATCATCATACGTCAGGTACACAATGTTCTCCCGGGTTAATGTCACATGGCTGCGATCCACACAGCAGCAACCTTGTAGGAAGAAGACAGAAAAGAAGGGGAGGGGATGTCTTGCTTTCCCCTGGGGCCCGGCTCGTCCTGTCCCTTCCCTCCTACTCCTTGGGGATTTCAAACATGCAAAGGCTCTTGTATTTCTGCAGCAGTTCGTTCTTGGTCCTGACTTGCTCCCTCAGGCTGCGCAGCTGCTCTTGCTGCTGCTCGGGGCTCACACCGATGCCGGGCATGGCGCTGATCATCTTTCTCATCTCCTGGAATTTGGTCTTGAGTTCGTTCAGCACCTGGTGGACATCCTGGCTGTCCTTGTCCATGCTGCAGGGAGGCAGAGAGCAGATACGACAGCTCACACCTTGCATCAGACGGACTCAGGGGGCTACATCCCTCCCGACACAGACTCCTCCGCAGCCACCCACCAGAAGCCAGCAGGGATGAGAAGAGGGGCGTGGCCACGGGCGGTTAACTACATATGCCCAACTCTGACGTGACTGCTGATATTCTGGGCAGCCCCAGTCAAGTGACATTAGCCCTAAAGCCACATGACGGCTCTGGATCACTGTGTCTTGTTGAACGCACGCACCCACAGAATAGTCACACGGGTCAGGAGACGGCTTGAGGCTCTAACGTTGACCATGAATCAGGCCCACTTTCCCCCCTGTTAAGCGCCCATCCCCCTCCGCCCATCCCCCTCCCTATAAAGAAGTCCCATGTCACCACCACGTTCCTCTGGCTAGAAAGGCTGCATGGGATCCCTTCTGGAACCTCTCAATGGCATTCGTTGACCAGCCAGGGTGTGTCACCATAATATGATGCACACTGTCCTCTTCCAGCAGAGCTGGCCATACCCACCCTCATCCCCGGGGCTTTTCTCTCTTCTTAGCCCAGAGGGTGAGACAGAACCAGTGCCCCCAGCTGTCCTGGCAGCCGAGCAGCAATGCTGAAGGGCCACTGGCCTAGATGGTCTCCTCCAGCTTCTGTGACTCATGCTCACAGGTCCTGCCTCCTGTTGCACTTTCCAGATGTGATAAAATGGTTTCAACTGTAATGAGCAGGAGAGGGGCTGGGGAGAGGAGGAGGGACCGAGAGAGCGGACGGGAGCCGGACTCGGAGCAGGGAAGCTGCGGGAGCACGTCCCCAAACGCAGCTCTGCTAATGCCCCTCACTCCAGACCCGCAGCCCCAACATGCCTCCGCCTCGACCTGCAACACACCTTGCTGCCTTCAGCCTGCCCTCCCCACCCACTCCACAGCTCTGCCAATGCTCCTCTGCACCCGCTCCTGCTATTCCAGTCCATGGCTCCCTATGTCCAGCTTTGCCTGCAGCATCCTGTTAGTCCAGTCCTGCGTAGCACAGAATCAAATCTGGTTTGAGGCAGCACTGTCCAGCGGATAAGGACTCAGGAGACTTGGGCTCTAGTCTATAACCTGCTAGGGGACCTTGGGCGAGTCACCCCCTTCTATGCCTCAGTTTCCCCTCCCACATTTTGCCCGTCTCCTCTACTTAGACTGTGCCCTGTTCAGAGCAGGGACTGGCTCTTACTACATGTACATACAGTGCCTAGCACGATGGGGATCCGATTTTGGTTTGGGGCCTGTAATACAAATAATTAATAAACAGCAACATCACTGGTAGCTGACAGGAATCAGATGCATTCTGCCATTCAAGCTACAAACAGGTTCCTTGAACTAAACCATAAGGAACACCAGAGAAAATAACGCTCCACATACTCAGAAGGACTCACTCTCTCTCTGAGGGGACATTAACACCCCCAGAAAGGAGAGAGGGTGCCCTGTTTTAAAACCAGCTGCTTTCTCAGCATGCTCCATTTTTAAAAATAGCTTAGCATCTGCGATGCCATTGCTAACACTTAGAAAAGTCTCACCTGGCTCAGAGGATTTGCTTCCCGGCTTTGGAAACCCATTGCTAATGGGTAGAGTGGGATTGTAGAGGCCTTTGAAAACCACAAGCCTGCTCAATAGCCAGCTCTAAAAACAAAAAGAAAAGGAGTACTTGTGGCACCTTAGAGACTAACCAATTTATTTGAGCATAAGCATCCGATGAAGTGAGCTGTAGCTCACGAAAGCTTATGCTCAAATAAATTGGTTAGTCTCTAAGGTGCCACAAGTACTCCTTTTCTTTTTGCGAATACAGACTAACACGGCTGTTACTCTGAAACCTCTAAAAACAAGACGGGCTTGGCATTGCAGGGGCAGAGAGGGATTCAGTTATAACTTTGGGGAATAATGACACAGCCCAAAGGGAAACGTTTAAGCAGATGGCGCCCATTGGTTTGAATATTCATTCTTTCCAAGCTTACTCAGGTAGGACATTTTACCGCCAAAATATTCATCACTCCCTTCCTACGTAAAACTGCAGCTGGATGCTGGAATGGGCTGTCAGTGAGCAAGCATCTAAATCACAATCAATCATGAACACCCAGGTAGAATTGAGTGACTGTGGGTAGGGCCCTTCGGAGAGAATCAAGTTCATCTGATCATTGACTGGCTTCCTCGCGCTCACGCTGGTGTAACTCTAACTTCAGTGGGATCACTCCTGATTTACACCACTACGAGAGCTTAGAAATAAGGCCCTACACTTCTGCGAGGGCCTGCTCCACTAGTGGAAAGAGTTCCATTAATTCAATGACATTTGGATCAAGCCCCGAGAGTGGCGGAGCTTTTTAGACCGAGGGCAAAGAGCTGGCAGAAATTCCAGGGACTGAAACAATAGGCAAGGGTGTGTGTCCTTGAATGTCTGTTAGTTTACAACACACATCCCCAGTGACACTGCAGATGGGCACGCTATCTTATGTTCAAGTCCTGACTTTGTGATAAGCGATCATTTGAAAGGAAGATTCATTTGCAACCTGCCAGGGTTATGAACGAATACACCCTAGCACAGGAAAGCTCGGCTCCCCAGCTGTCAGCTGGATGAAGCATCACTCTCTAATGCTAACAGTTAGAGAGAGGCTGGGCAATGGGACACCTGGGGCCTTTCATCTCTTGCTCGCAAGGTCATTGGCTGATGGCTGTTTGGTGACCTCTGTGAAATGAGTTGGGCGAGTCTCAGCCCAGTTTCCAGCAGACAAACCTTCTAATTGAAAAAAAACCCACCACCACACCTGGCACTAAGTACTTCCAATGCCGGTAGTCTCCAGGGGTGGGGGCAAAGGTGACACCTTGTTTCCTTTTCCCACCGCCTTCTCTGTGTCATGATGCCCCACGCATAGAAACATGCACAGCCTCCCCATCCCGCCTTCCACAGCCACCAGCGAGATCCTTCCTGAAACTCCTCTCTCCCATGACACCCACCAGCCTGTGAGTTCAAAATGATCACTTCCGTTATTCCCCCTCCTGTGTTCCCCCATGTGTCCTGCTTTCCCTGGGCCTGCCTGTCAGGCTGCAAAGGCTATGGACATGTCTACACTGCAATTAGATACCTGCGGCTGGCCCGTGCTGGCTGACTCGGGCTAAGGGGCTGTTTAATTGCAGTGTAGACGTTCATGCTGGGGCCTGCGCTCTGGGACCTTCCCCTCTTTACTAGCCCCTCCAAGTTCTCCCTGCCGAACAGGGTTAAGGCACAAGGGTGGGGCAGCGTGGCGGGAGCTGGCATCAGCACCCTCTGTGCTGACCCTGTTTTGTGCGTACATGGCAGTCTTCAGTGCCCAGGGCTGTTAAGCCAGCCCTGTCTTCACACAAACAAAACATGTGAAAGGGGGGTTATCAGAATGTCAGGGCTAGAACTCCTCAGGTGGCCTCAGATCTACTCCGGACCAATATACTTGTCCAGACACCGATCCTGAATCAGAAAGACAAAATTCCAATCGCTACCATGAGATGATCCACCACCCTCTTTTTAAGGGGCTAGAGCAGGAAAACGTTCCTGAACTGGCCTGCGCTGACCAGGCCCTTTGCCAGTAGGACTGTGTGTTTGTCTGGCACAGTTAGATGCAACTTAAACACTAAACTGGGAGGAGTGGTAGATATGCTGGAGGATAGGATACAGAGGGACCTAGACAAATTGGAAGATTGGGCCAAAAGAAATCTGATGAGGTTCAACAAGGACAAGTGCAGAGTCCTGCACTTAGGACGGAAGAATCCCATGCACCGCTGCAGACTAGGCACCGAATGGCTCGGCAGCAGTTCTGCAGAAAAGGACCTAGGGATTACAGTGGACGAGAAGCTGGATATGAGTCAACAGCGTGCCCTTGTTGCCAAGAAGGCCAATGGCATTTTGGGATGTATAAGTAGGGGCATTGCCAGCAGAACAAGGGACGTGATCGTTCCCCTCTATTCGACATTGGTGAGGCCTCATCTGGAGTACTGTGTCCAGTTTTGGGCCCCACACTACAAGAAGGATGTGGATAAATTGGAGAGAGTCCAGCGGAGGGCAACAAAAATGATTAGGGGACTGGAACACATGACTTATGAGGAGAGGCTGAGGGAACTGGGATTATTTAGTCTACAGAAGAGAAGAATGAGGGGGGATTTGATAGCTGCTTTCAGCTACCTGAAAGGGGGTTCCAAAGAGGATGGATCTAGACTATTCTCAGTGGTAGCGGATGACAGGACAAGGAGTAATGGTCTCAAGTTGCAGTGGGGGAGATTTAGGTTGGATATTAGGAAAAACTTTTTCACTAGGAGGGTGGTGAAACACTGGAATGCTTTACCTAAGGAGGTGGTGGAATCTCCTTCCTTAGAAGTTTTTCAGGTCAGGCTTGACAAAGCCCTGGCTGGGATGACTTAATTGGGGATCGGTCCTGCTTTGAGCAGGGGGTTGGACTAGATGACCTCCTGAGGTCCCTTCCAACCCTGATATTCTGTGATTCTATGAAATCCAAAAATGGACAATGATTTTTAGATACTAGGTTTACACTGCAGGCACAGTTCGGCTACTGAATCCGACTGACCTATGCGCACGAGGGAAACAATGCCTGATTTAAAAAAGCATTTCTTGAACGCCAGACATCAGCCAACTTGAGACAAACTTTCTCGGAAACTCTGGGCCAGATTGTCAGCAGGTGTAAACTCCATGGCACCTGCCCTGATTTACTCCAGCGGAGGCTCCGGCCCACAGGGTCAATGCCAGAAAGGTACAACTAGATCAAGACGCATCAAATGAAAATAACTTAAAACTAATCAAGCCTGGAGTTAAGCAGCCTCATGAAATCAAAGCAGCATAGAATCATAGAATCATAGAATATCATAGAATATCAGGGTTGGAAGGGACCCCAGAAGGTCATCTAGTCCAACCCCCTGCTCAAAGCAGGACCAATTCCCAGTTAAATCATCCCAGCCAGGGCTTTGTCAAGCCTTTGTCAAGCAGGTTGAACTGAAGGCGCTGCAGAAGGAATTCCATCACCCTCAATGCAGGGCCGTTCCTTACGTTTTACCACCCATGCCAGGGGACTCCCATCACCTTCCTGGATCCAAGTGACTTATGGTTCCCACCCGATGCGTGGCCCCAGAATGCCATGCTGCTTGGCTCCAGATAGCAGGCTGCACGCTAGAAACACTCATCTCTGCCAGGGATGCCCCTCCTTGCTGAAGAGAAGGGCAGCCCACGCCTTCGCTCCGAATGGCTCCACAAGCAGAGCCTTGGCCATCCTCTGTAGTGCGGCTGGTGGCCTGGGGCAAGCAGGGGACCTGGGATGGAGGGGATCCCTGGAACCCTAGTGATCTCGGCCCTCTGGAAAGCAAGGTGGATCGTCCACTAGTTCTCTACTTGTGAGATGGGGGGATATGGAGAGATACCCCACGATCTCTGGGACAGCAGGGGGGAATCCCTAGTGATCTCTCTGTGCTCCTTGTGGGGTGAAAAGATTCCCCAGATCTCTAAAGGACAGGGGAACCCCAGCGAGATCTCTGGAGCAGTCCCATGGGATATCCCCAGTGATCTCTTTGCAGAACGGGGCGCTGGAGGGACCCCCGGGATCTCTCCCCAGAGTGGGGCGCTGGGGGGGGGGGGAACCCCAAGGCAGCGGCGCCGGGGCGGGAAGCACGGGCACGTTACCATTTGATGATATCATGGACCAGGGGCAGGAAGGAGAAATCCTCCTGGCCCTGCTGCTGGGGCGGCGGCGGCTGGGGCGGCGGCTGGAGCTGGGGCTTCTGCTCTCCCTGCTGCTCCGGGGGCTGCGGGGCTTGGAGCGGGGCCGGCGGCTGCGGCTGCTGCTGCTCCTCCGCCGGCCGCACCCCCACACCGGCCCCGCCAGTAGCCATGGTCCCCGGGCTCCCCTCCGGCTGCAGCCCGTCGCGGCTAATGCGCGTCCCCCAGGCCCGGCCCCCTTGCAGCCAGAGATAGGCCGATTGCAGCCGCGGCTCCTCTCTAACACGTCAGCTGCGCCGGGGGTGTGGACAGGGCTGGCTCGCCCCGCCTGCCTGGCGCGCCGGGGCTCTCTGCAGCCTGCCGCCCCGGGGGGCTGCGCGCCAGCCGGGCAGCAGGCGGCTCCAGCCCGGGCGTGCAGGAGCGCGGTTGCGGTGCCTTGCCCCGCCCCGCTGTATGCAGGCATGAGGCCCGGGGAGTTGGGGGCGGCTGGGGTATGGCGCTGCCGCCTGCCCGGCCCCTTAGCGGAGCTCGCTGCCCAGTGCCCGAAACGTGGGGCCCCCTTCCCATGGGGCGTTACACCGCCCTGCGCAGTTCTCTGGGTCAGGGGTTCTCAAACGTTTGGCCCGGTGACCCCTTTCACACAGCAAGCCTCAGCGTGCGAGGCCCCTTATCAATTACAAAAAGAAAAGGAGGACTTGTGGCACCTTAGAGACTAACCAATTTATTTGAGCATGAGCTTTCGTGAGCTACAGCTCACTTCATCGGATGCATACCGTGGAAACTGCAGCAGACTTTATATACACACAGAGAATATGAAACAATACCTCCTCCCACCCCACTGTCCTGCTGGTAATAGCTTATCTAAAGTGATCAACAGGTGGGCCATTTCCAGCACAAATCCAGGTTTTCTCACCCTCCACCACCCCACACAAATTCACTCTCCTGCTGGTGCTAGCCCATCCAAAGTGACAACTCTTTACATAATCAAGTCAGGCTATTTCCTGCATAGATCCAGGTTTTCTCACATCCCCTCCACCCCCATACACACACAAACTCACTCTCCTGCTGGTAATAGCTCATCTAAGCTGACCACTCTCCAAGTTTAAATCCAAGTTAAACCAGAACATCTGGGGGGGGGGGGGGGGGGGTAGGAAAAAACAAGAGGAAACAGGCTACCTTGCATAATGACTTAGCCACTCCCAGTCTCTATTTAAGCCTAAATTAATAGTATCCAATTTGCAAATGAATTCCAATTCAGCAGTTTCTCGCTGGAGTCTGGATTTGAAGTTTTTTTGTTTTAAGATAGCGACCTTCATGTCTGTGATTGCGTGACCAGAGAGATTGAAGTGTTCTCCGACTGGTTTATGAATGTTATAATTCTTGACATCTGATTTGTGTCCATTTATTCTTTTACGTAGAGACTGTCCAGTTTGACCAATGTACATGGCAGAGGGGCATTGCTGGCACATGATGGCATATATCACATTGGTGGATGTGCAGGTGAACGAGCCTCTGATATTCTCTGTGTGTATATAAAGTCTGCTGCAGTTTCCACGGTATGCATCTGATGAAGTGAGCTGTAGCTCACGAAAGCTCATGCTCAAATAAATTGGTTAGTCTCTAAGGTGCCACAAGTACTCCTTTTCTTTTTGCGAATACAGACTAACACGGCTGTTCCTCTGAAACTTATCAATTACAAACACTTTAAAATATGTTTAACGCCATGATAAATGCTGGAAGCAAAGCGGGGAGTGGGCTGGAGGCTGACAGCGCGGGACCCCGCATGTAATAACCTGGCGACCCCCCCAGTTTGAGAGCCCCGGCTCTGTGGGCAGACATCCTCTAACTCATGTTGGGTTAATTTGAAGTCGTTTTCAAAGGCCTTCCCTTGAGGGAGGGTTTTTTGCCCTTCCCAGGGATCAGTTTTAAAGATCGCTCATTGGCGACCCTATTTTTGTGGGTAAAAATTAAAGGGCCCAGTTCGGCAACAGCGTTAACCAGCCCCTCTGGCTGGGGTAGTATCAGCCTTTGGGTCAAGTATGTAGTCCCTGATTTGTGTGTTAGAGGTTTGGGTTCAACGCTGCAGAAGACCGCTGTGTGTATGTGTGTGTGTGTCCGCATATCACACCCGCAAACAGTGAACAGAGAGCTGTTTATAAACAGTTCAGTTAGGAACCCGCAAGGAAAAATCAAATGCGCGGACACAGAATGGGGAAGAGCAGGGGAGGCTCTGGTAGTGCAGAAGAGGATCTGGAGGTTATAGTGGATTATGTAATGAATATGAGTCAACAACATGATGGTGTTGTGAACAAGGCAAAATATCATGCGGGGGTGTATTAACAGGAGTGTGGTGCGTAAGACATGGGAGATCATCAATCTGCTCTGCTTGGCTCGGGTGAGGCATCAGCTGGAGTATTGTGTCCAGTTTTGGGTGCCACATAAAGTTGTGGACAAATTGGAGAGAGTCCAGAGGCGAGCAGCAGAAATACTAAAAGGTTTAGAAAATGCGATTTATGATAAAAGGGGGGGGGTTAAGAAAAGGGTATGTTTAGTCTAGAGAACAGAATGATGAGGGGGAACCTGGTAACAGGTTCTAATATGTTCAGGGCTGTTATAAAGAGGTTGATGATTGATTGTTCTCCATGTCCAGTGAAGGTGGGACAAGAAATAATTAGCTTAATCTGCAGCAAGGGAGATTTAGTTTATTTATTAGGGAAAACTTTCTGACTACAAAGGGGTTAAGCAGTGGAACAGATACCTACGGAAGTGGAATCCTGGAAGTTAGACGAAGAGGGAAATGCAACCTAGATGGAGCTACTGTAAGGTGGGTGCATAACTGGTTGGAAAATCGTTCCCAGAGAGTAGTTATCAGTGGTTCACAGTCATGCTGGAAGGGCATAAGGAGTGGGGTCCCGCAGGGATTGGTTCTGTTCAATATCTTCATCAATGATTTAGATAATGGCATAGAGAGTACACTTATAAAGTTTGCGGATGATACCAAGCTGGGAGGGGTTGCAAGTGCTTTGGAGGGTAGGATTAAAATTGAAAATGATCTGGACAAACTGGAGAAATGGTCTGAAGTAAATAGGATGAAATTCAATAAGGACAAATGCAAAGTACTCCACTTAGGAAGGAACAATCAGTTGCACACATACAAAATGGGAAATGACTGCCTAGGAAGGAGTACTGCAGAAAGGGATCTGGGGGTCATAGTGGATCACAAGCTAAATATGAGTCAACAGTGTAACGCTGTTGCAAAAAAAGGGAACATCATTCTGGGATGTATTAGCAGGAGTGTTGTCAGCAAGACACGAGAAGTAATTCTTCTGCTCTACTCCACGCTGATTAGGCCTCAACTGGAGTATTGTGTCCAGTTCTGGGCACCACATTTGAGGAAAGATATAGACAAATTGGAGAAAGTCCAGAGAAGACCAACAAAAATGATAAAGGTCTAGAAAACATGACCTATGCACTGCCCACCCCACATTGGGTCAGTTGGGTGGCTCAACATGGGACCTCTGCCCCCATAGTCATCAGTCTGGAACTTTTCCCAAACATTGGATTCATCAACAAAAAGGGATCTATGGTGTGCTACACCAGCGCATAACAAAGCTTTCAGACAAAGACAAGAGTATGTAATAGTGTGGACAAAAGGCACTTCTTAGTATGACTAGGGGGGATAATTTCACCTTTGATTTGGTAATACAATTGACCTGCAATCCAGTATGTCCTATTTTTCCTCTATATAGTTTTGATTGTCATTTTTAATATAATTCAGTTGGCCGGCGCTCAATTCCTGGAATTTTCAAATGTCTCAAAATTGCCGGATCCCTTATGTCTTAAAACCATCTCATAAATTCATTTCTTGTTCAAATGGTTACTTAACCTATTTTCCTGGAGACCAGCTGAATAAATGAACCTTATCTATATTACTAATATAACATCCCTTTCTGTCATCCCATTATAAACTGCTTTCCCGCCTCCAAATTCGATCTAGTTTCAGAGGTTGCTTTCTGTCTCTTTAGATTTATTATCAATCATTTCATGCAACATCATCCAGTTCTTTTTACAGGTCCCCTCTATTAGATTTTATTTGTTAATAGCCTCATATTTCAACTTGATCTTTGTGTTGCCATCGTGGTTTTACTCTGGCTATTATTATCAGTACCATTATGATTTTTATACTATGGCCAATACCGTTTGCAGCTTTATCTCATCCCACTGCAGCAGACTCACACCTTTGACTTTCTGGAAATCTCACTGGGTGTTCTATTTAAAGCTTGCAAGTCTCAAAGATTCTTCAGAGGTTGTGTTCATTTAAGACCACAAAGTCTTCAAATGTTCACCAGATTCTGGACCTGATTCTGGTGCCATTGAATTCCATGGCAAAACTCCTACTGGCTTTGACAAGCACAGAATTCAGCTTCTTTAGACTCTAACCCTCAGCTTGCAATGCCACAGGAACTGGAATTTGCACGAGATTTGTGCTATCCCCAGCTCCTGATGGGTCCAGAATTACCCTGAGAAGTAATATTTTGACTTCCAGATCCAAGAAACACAACTGTGAAAAAGCAGGCATAATAGGGGAATAAATCCTTTTTGTTTGGTTCCTGAAAAGTTTACCTTAAAATTCAGTGCAAGATGGGGCCCTGTCTTTAGGAGTAGAGCTGCTTGAAAAACATTTGATGGGACAGTTTTCCATCAGAACATGCAGCTGAGTTGAAATGGAAACCTTTGGCAGAGCATGAATCTTTCAACACAAATGTACCTGGGAGAAAGTTGAAATGAGTCTGTCACAGCGTAGCTGACCTTGGAGGGGGTCAGCCCCCAGCCTACTTATGACAGGCTCCAGTAAGGAGAACAAGCCAACCCAGATCCACTTGTGAGTTATTAAATTGCTCAGATGGCTGGGTGGCAATTAGTAAGTGAAGGAACACCTGGGCCTTTTAAAGGGTTATGAGGTCTCAGGCAGGGCACCTAGAGCATACAGAGGAATCCTCAGGAGTGGGATTTCTCAGGGGAACTGTGTAGAGAACTCAACAGAAAAGGGGACCTGGGAACAGTGATCCTAGGTGAAGCCAGTTCCAAAAGGTTAACGAGTGGCAAAGCCCCGAGGGAGACCGAGTCCCACTGAAAGGACCTTCCCCATAGCAGCAAGAGGTCCAGGTTGTTGGGGAACCAGTCCAGAGAAGAGATTCAGTGGTTTGAACTCTGCAGGGCTCTGAGGTTAGAGAAGGAACCCTTCCCCAGATGAGGGC